TGGACTGACACTTGGTAAATAAAGAAAACATACTGACATCTCTCCCAGCATGTCATCTATAATTATAGGTCACTGACAGATACAGATCTTCTGTTTACTATCTTTACATCACCTCATGTGTGGTTCTGCTTTGTCTGTGTTTCAGTCCCATCAGTCTGGACCTCATGCAACCGGTTATCTGTGCAATCATGTCTGTGCGTCACATGATTTGTCCTCTGTCCCATCATGTCTGGGCGTCACATGATTTGTCCTCTGTCCCATCATGTCTGGACGTCACATGGTTTGTCCTCTGTCCCATCATGCCTGGACGTCACATGGTTTATCCTGTCCCATCGTGTCTGGACGTCACGTGGTTTGTCCTCTGTCCCATCATATCTGGACGTCACATTGTTTGTCCTCTGTCCCATCATGCCTGGACGTCACATGGTTTGTACTCTGTCCCATCGTGCCTGGACGTCACATGGTTTATCCTCTGTCCCATCATATCTGGACGTCACATGGTTTGTCCTCTGTCCCATCGTGCCTGGACGTCACATGGTTTGTCCTCTGTCCCATCTTATCTGGACGTCACATTGTTTGTCCTCTGTCCCATCATATCTGGACGTCACATGGTTTGTCCTCTGTCCCATCATGCCTGGACGTCACATGGTTTATCCTGTCCCATCGTGCCTGGACGTCACATGGTTTGTCCTCTGTCCCATCATATCTGGACGTCACATTGTTTGTCCTCTGTCCAATCATGCCTGGACGTCACATTGTTTGTCCTCTGTCCCATTATGCCTGGACGTCACATTGTTTGTCCTCTGTCCCATCATGCCTGTACCTCACTTCACCGGTGACCTGCACCTGTGAATTTTGTAGAGCTGACTTGTCTAGCACACTCCTTTAAAACACTTACATGGACACTTCAAAATCTGTATCCTTCCATTATTTCTAATTATTGTATACCTTAACTGGTCATTTATTGTCAATCTGGAGAACCGAATAAACGTATCCATGACCTAGCACTGGTATCTCCGAAGGTCATGGGTCCTAATACCTCTACTCCTTTGCCTCCAAGATCCCACAGACTTCCCCATTCATTTCCTCCTCCCCCACTGTTTCCAGCACTGACTTTATGACTACGGTTCCGTTACTGACCTTTTAACCCCTAACAATAAAATCTAGCTGATAGGGGCCACTACTGTGTGCACATTTCGACCCTCCCACCTTCGTCTATCTGAGCCTGGTCAAGCTGTCATTGGTAATAGTCTATGATGGATATTCCTTACCCTACTCCAGACAAGGGGAGTTGTACAGTCAGCACTAGATACCCCTATAAACAATGCTATTTATTAGGTCTCCCTAGTTTTGAAACAAATAACAATAGACCTTCACAATATAAATAAACAGTGACCCACACCAGACAGTGACCCACAACAGACAACAGTGACCCACAACAGACAACAGTGACCCACAACAGACAACAGTGACCCACACAAGACAGTGACCCACAACAGACAACAGTGACCCACACCAGACAGTGACCCACAACAGACAACAGTGACCCACA